GGTATGCGCACTTATTACTGAAGTCTCTCTCCAGCTCCTTTTGAACTTTTTGAGACAGGGTCTCACTAAGTTGCCCAGACTGACCTTCACTGTGTTTTATATAGTCCAGGCAGCCCTTGAACCTGTATTCTCTTGCCTTAGTCTCTTCAGGTTGCTGAAATTGCAGGCATATGTTACAGCCCTGTGTGCTAATTTCCATGGTTTGTAGTCAAGTCCAACTTGAAGCTTACAGTGAGCTCTTTTTGGCTTATTGATTCATAGGTTAACCACTGATTCTTTTTTGTTTGGTTTTGGTTTTTCAAGACAAGGTTTCTCTGTATTGCTTTGGAGTCTGTCCTGGAACTTGCTCCGTAGACCAGGCTGGCCTCAAACTCAGAGATCCTCCTGCCTCTGTCTCCAGAGTGCTGGGATTAAAGGTGTTTGTCACTATGCCTGACTTAACCATATATATATCTGTGGGCTCAAAATTCTCGAATAAATAAATATAAAAATAAATGCCAGGGGCTGGGGATGTAGCTTGGTGGAGGGGTTGCCTAGAATACATAGACTTACACTTGATCTCTAGTAACAGACACACACACACACACAACACACACACACACACAGAGAGAGAGAGAGAGAGAGAGAGAGAGAGAGAGAGAGAGAGAGAATATGTCTCTAGAGGAGAACAAATATATTTCCATTTTCATTATGTATGTAGTAACTGTTTTGCAAATAGTTTAAAGGGATTTCTCAGGCTTCTGAAAACTTCAGCTTAACAGATGTTAAGGAATTGTCTAGCACTCAGGGTAACCGCTTCCTCTGCACTTTAGGTGAAAGCAGCCTTCACAAGAGCTTATAATAAGGAGGTCCACCTGACCCCATACTCACTTCAGGCAGTAAAGACACTGAGACTCAGCACAGGCCCAGCACTGGATTCTGAATACCATGAAGAGTCACAGGAAGACGACAGTCAGCCTGATGAGAAAGAACAGGATGCAATAGAGACTGACGCCATGATCAAGGTAGTGTGTTCAGCTCTGGGCAGGAGCATCTCAAGGGAGACGACCTTTGTAATGTGCCTTGGGAATAATAAGGTCTGTTCTGCAGGTAGCAGGGTAAGCTGAAAATACAATTATGTCTTGCTCTTTGTAATTGAAGGTGACGGGACTGGTTTCATAATGTATATATAATGTATGTATGTATGTATGTGTGTGTATATATATATACACACACATACATACACTTATTATTATTTAAATATCTATTTTCAAGACTAGGTTTCTCTCTGTAGCCCTGGCTGTTCTGGTATTCACTCTGTTGACCAGGCTGGCTTCAAACTGCCTGACTCTGTCTCCCAAGTGCTGGGATTAAAGGCATGTGCCATCATGCCTGGTGATTTATTTTTATAAAGTGTACTTATAGTAGTGGAAGAGCCAAACAGCAAGAAAATAGGCCATCATAGTGATGGTCGTGTATACTATAAGAATCCATGTATGTTGATTGTGTGCATGTGTATGTTTTTCCAAGTGTCTTCTTGGAAAAAGAACTTGCTTTTGCCTGTCTTAGTTTTTGAGACAGGATCTGTCACTGAACCTGGGGTTTGCTACTCTGGCTAGATGGCTAGCTAGAGAGTCCTCAGGATCTACATGCTTGTTCCCCCCTTCCCTAGCACTGAGCTTAACAGAAAGAGGTGTGCTACCTGCCATTCCTTGCTTTTATGTGCGTGTTGAGGATCTGAGCTTAGTTTAGGCTTGTGCAGGAAGTATTTTACCTGAGTAGTCATCTCACCTGCCCCAGAAGGGTACTGTTTATACTAAATTGGATATTGATACATGCTTCCATACCACAGGTGCATTTTAATAGGGTAAATAGAAAAACCTTTTAAATAAACCTCTGTTATTTATGTTTGCTACAGTCATTGAATTGCTTGTAAAAATTTCTCAGAGAAAAACTTGTCTTTTGCTAGTAATGATTTGAATGAGGCACGGAGTCAGCCTACTTCACAGCTGCCACGGCAAAAAGGGATGCAGCCTCTGTCCCTCTCACTGTGTGTGCGGTTCTTACTCTTCCTGTGTTGCATATCTGTGGAAAGAGGACCTTTGCAGTTGAATTGGTTCCCTGTCTCCTCTCCTTTCCCCTCTTCATAAAATGAGTGTGCTTAGATCTTCTGTGAGACTAAAAGGGAAGTTCAACATGTAGTCATTGCCATATCTATAACTCACCTCTTGGGTTATTCTGGCTTTCCTAAGACTACTATGTTCTGAATCCAGGAAACTGCCTTACATAGGGCACACCTTAGTTCTAGATCTGAGTGTATTTTCTCTGTGCTGTCACCTCTCAAGGCTGTAAATAGCTTGGTTGTTGCTTCTCGGGGCAGCAGTAGATAACTGTGACCTTGCTTTTCTAATTAAATTATAGGTAAAGATTATGCTCTCATTTACTCAGCAACATTTTAACTGTTTTGTGCATCTCTCTTCCAACAGAAAAAGACAAGATCTTCAAAGCCTTCAAAACCAGAAAAAGATAAGGAGTCCAAAAAGGGAAAACGAACAAGTTGGAAGAAATGAAACCATTGTTGAGTACTAATAGCTGCTTTTCACTTACCCTCTTGACTAGTCCAGCTGGTCTAGGGAATGAAAACCTTGCCCTTTGCCAGAGTAACCATGTGTAGCACCATGGGGTGGCCTGGTGGTCCCATTATAAAGGACGGTACAGCCAGACAGTCTAACTAGCCAGCTCTCATGCACCTCTTATAGAGGTGGGTAGGACTGCTCCAGCCCTGCACTGTCCCTGCCAACTGAATTAGATTGCTGGTATTCAGAATGACTGTGGAACCAAAACTAGGGGTCCACAGGCTTTGGAGTCAGATTTTAGTTAACCATAGCAAGTCTGGGCACAGTGGAACTGAGGCATCTTTTGTAGCTTAACAGTTCATCCTGATGACCGTTAGAAGACTAGTGCTGATTTTTTTTTTAAACATAGTAGTTCTTATTTTATGGTGAAATTCTGTAAATAAACCTTAATACAAAGCAGCCACCACCTGGAGCTGAGTGTTCTTGGTCCACTGTCAGGGATCTTGCAGAGTATGCATCAGGAATCAGATGTCCATGTAGTGCAGGGATCATTTTGAAGATTGTCATCTTGTACAGCAAAATATTATGTTGGTATCTTATTTTCCTTATTAATTTGATTAGATGAAAACTTTTGGCATACTTCTGTGAATTGCATTGCTGTTCTGCAGGTGGAGGGCAGAGCTCAAATGCCAGCGTCCCTTTGCACTGACCACATTGCTGCTGTAGGTAGTCTCAGAGAGGCCTCTTGGTTAGTGGGGTGTGCAGACACTGACTGACTGTCATACATTCCTGTCCTGCAGTCTCAAGGTTGAGACCAGTAGAGTCTAGGATGAGTCAGATTCTCAGGCTCATTTTGGCTGGGAGATGCTGTCCTGTGATAGAGTTCATAGTCCTACTGGAATTTCAGATTGTGTCTAGAACTGTGCTTGTTGAAGGACCCTGAGCCATGAACATAACCTGGCCTTTAGGTGGTTAGCTCTTTACAACAGTGAGCGCTCAGAGGTCTATGCTGCCTCTGTGAGGTATATGCCAAAAAAGAAGAGGATCATGTTCTGCCTTTGAGGCCTCATGGCCTTGTTGGGAGAGGAGACAAAGTCCTGGAGACAGTGCAAGTTTATTAACCAGTGTGAAAGGTGTTTCCTGGAGATCGGTTCATTATGGAAATAAACACTGCCCTTAAGCCTGAGCCTGAGTCCTGCCCTCTCTTTGTTTAAACTTAACTGCTGCAGTATCCCAGAGGGGATACTCGTGTGCACATTCTCCATTCCTGTTCCTTTGGGACATGCAAGTCATGTCTCCCTCAGTTGGATATACATTCCAGGAAAGGCCTAGTATTCTGCTTGCTTTCAAAACAAAGAATGGTGTTTACTTATTTAATATAGTTATAATGTACATTATGAATGTTCTGAACAAGCTGTAAAAATATTTTAGAATTAGAAACTGTAAATATGCTGTTTAATACAGGAAAGGTAGCTTTGAATTCTTCTTGGAAGCCCTCCTAAACTTGACACAAATGGTACAAATTAAAGGAAACTGGGCATGAAGGAAATAGCAGTTGGATGAGGACCTAATTGTCTGCATTGGGATTGAATCTCTTCAAAGATCCTGAAGTGGCCTGTGGTGCCCTCGATGCCCAGGTTCTCTGAGCTCTCTGTGGAGAGCACCGAGTCATGGCCATCTGGATGGCTGTGCCTCACAGACAGTTCCTCTTAGTTCCTTCTGATAGATTTTGGCATTATTTGTTAGCCTCTTGAAGTTATGAGTGACTTAATATATACTAGGATGAATATCTTCCTGATGTTCTAGAGTGAGTGTGTTCACAAGTGAAAGCTGAGGCCTGTAAATCGCAGAATACAAAGTGCTTGGCTTCACAGATGCCAGGTGGCTGTGACATCCTCAGTGGTGTGAGGAGATAGCAAGAAGCTTGGGACTGATTTCCATTAAGTTGCACTGCTTAGTGAGGCCAAGGCCTCACTGGTGAGCCCCAGGAAGACAGCTAAAGCTTGAAGGATGAAGGTGGGATGTTCAGATGCACTTTGGCCAGTCTCATTTGTTCATGCTCGATTGCTGGTTACAGTATGTGCATCACCTGATTTGGGTGACTCAAGTGTCAGCTTTTCAGACTGGTAACATTGGCCATAGGTCATGGTGAGGAAGTGTATATTGCAGTTGTAGGGCAAGTGAGTGTGGCATGTGCAATATGAGAAAAAAAAAAAAAAAAAAAAAAAACTCTGGGAAGATAACAAATAATATGTTTCAAGGGGAAATCAAATAATTTTTTTGTGTGCAGCAGAATGGACAAACACTACATTTATTCATTTTGTGACAAATTGTCTCTGTTGTTTTGGCTCAAGGGACAGACTCTGTCCTGGCCAGACTTTATAAAGGCTCCAAGCCACCTTTATCACTTCCTCTGTGTTCAAATTCAGGAAAATGTTACAAATATCTAGTCAACAGTTTTATTTGAAAGGAGATACTTAAATAAAAAATGATTAGAAAACTGGGTATTTACACTGTATAGGACTTCGAAGAGGAACTATACAAGGTTCAAGAAGCAGCAGGTTGTGTCACTATGTCACCGGAGAGGCTGAACTTGCTAGGCTGTTTCATTCTTCAAGTCTGCCAGGGCTGGACACAGCCTCCTGGGGGGAGATGCCATCTACTCAGGAGCACTGTCCAAGAAAGGGACAAACATGTCTTTAGATCTCATGTAATGGCACGCCTGTTAGAAAGCTGGATTTCCTGCTCATTTCTGGAGCTTGGAGCAGGAGTCCTACGGAGAGACAGTCCTACCGACATACAGCCTTGGGCTTCCTGGCCACAACTGCATGGTACACTGCTATCAAGCAGTGGGAGTGGTGATAAAGCCATTTTACTGTGAGGAATGTGAACATGCCAAGGATGCTTCTCTGAAATTAAACAGGTTCCTTCTTGGAAGGAAGCCGGGGAGCAATAGCTTCAGCCGTACCCAGTGTATAAGTACTGCTGAAAGAGACAGCACCATGGCAATGTGTAATCCTGACTCACTAAAGACATGGCTTCAAGGAGCTCTGACATGCCACAGTTTAGGTTTCTATAATGTATCACATACCTTGATACAAGGACGGTATTTGGAGAGAGCCTGGGAGCTTTCTTAACAAGGCTCCACTTTTAGAAGCGGTAGGGATGTAGAGATAAAGGTGTAAATAAGCAACTAACTGCTCAAAGGTATTGGAAAGCAACCAGAAGCAGGCAGTTGGAGACAGTCATCATTTGAAAGAATCTGCTGGGTTAGATCCAGGGCCCTGTGTCTACACCTGAAGTTAAGTCCTTGAGGCAGGCGATGGCTAGAAACCACATCATGATGAGGTGAGTTTCTCTCCTGAATAAAAGTTGATCAATATGGCCTACTAAATGGAATAAGGGGAGAAACCTTTATCATCACACAATTCATTGACAAAATTCAACATTCAGAAAACTAAGAAAAAAACTAATTGGAGGTCTTTCTTTTTAAAAATCCTAATTAAAAAAAGGTAACTGAGGGATGGTGTCACAAGCCTTTAATCCCAGGACTTGGGAGGATCACTGCAAATTCAAGGCCAGCTTGATTTATAGTGAAACCCTGTTTCAGAACCAAGGGCTTGTGAGATGGCTCTCTGGGTAAAGGGGTTCCTGATTACCTGAGTTTGCTATTTTTGTGCCTTGGAAAGATAGCAAGAAAGTGAAAAATTTGCAAATACACCATAAAACTTGCATGTAGATGTGTATTATAAATCAACTCTTGGAGCTCAAAAAAGGCAGTCCCTCTGAAACTGGGCCAACAAGCATACAGAAAGATGGTCTACACAGCACTAGAATATCCATACAACAGGATCTTGTTTGTACAGGCAAGCAGATCAGAGGATGGTGTTTGCCACTAGCCAATCATAGAGGTCTGGAGGTCTGTACAAGCAGACAGGACGTGAGATGGCTGGGCAGAGAGGATATAAATAGGAAGAAACAGGAACTCACTCTCTTGTCCACCAAGATGCTAGGAAGTAAAAGTAACTTTGGCTTGTACCTTCTTTCTGATCTCTCAGCACTTTTTTTTTTTTATGATTTAGACTATTTAAGAGTCCATTTACAACAGGGACCAGGTAGCATACTGCATCACACTCACTGGACCGAAAGGACAGAATGCTAGGTTTTAGTGAGTCCCTGGGGAAACTATAAACTACACTGCTGGTTGTAAAATGCTGCAGCCCTCTGAAAACAATTCCATGGTTCAAAAGGCAAAAAAGCCAATGAGGCTACAAGGCAGCACAGTAGACAGGAGAGAGAGCAGGCTGGGGCCAGCTCCAAGCTTGTGTGTGTGACTGAGACCTAGAATTCCATTTTAACCAAATTAAGTTCAAGATGTTCTACTAGGGATTGTGGTGATTTGAAAAATGACCCCCCATAGGGAGTGGCACTATTAGGTGGGGGAATGTGTCACTGTGGAGGTGGGCTTTGAGGTCTCCTTTGCTCAAGCTACACTCATTGTGACGCAGTTGCTTCTGCCTGTGGATCCAGATGTAGAACTCTCAGCTCCTTCTCCAGCATCATGTCTGCCTGCATGCCATCATGTCCACCATGATGACAATGGACTAAACCTCTGAAACTGTAAGCCACCCAATTAAATGTTTTCCTTTATAAGGGTTGTCCTGGCCAGGTGGTGGTGGCACACACCTTTAATCCCAGCACTTGGGAGGCAGAGGCAGATGGATCTCTTGTCAGTTCAAGGCCAGCCTGCTGTACAGAGCAAATTCCAGGACAGGCTCAAAAACTACACAGAGAAACCCTGTCTCAGAAAAACAAAAAAAGTTGTCCTGGTCATGTATGTCTCTTCATAGCAATAGAAATCCTACCTAAGACAGAAATGATTTCATCCTTCCTCACCCTTTAGTAAAAGTTCTTGACCTTTAGCAGAGTTTTGACTTCCCCTTAGAGTATGTGTGGCCATATTAGCAAAAATCCTTGTCACTGGAATGAGGTAGAAGGAATATGTGTGTATTTTGTGTGGCCAAAGTGAGACTTAGGAAAAGAAACTGGGATTTCAAAATCTTTGAAGTCAAACTTTGTACAGAACATAGCCAACTAAAAATCTCCCATTTAAAGAAAGCTGGCTCTAACTTTAAGGACTTATTTAAAAAGAAAAAAAAAAAACATATAGTTTGATAAAATAGAGTTAGAATTCATGGTGCTTGGCTAAGTGACCGTAGCCACTTGGGAAACCATATTACTTGCACTTTAACACTTAAATAAATCACTGAACTCTGACAATATGTTACACAAAAAAGAGTCGTTGCCAACACAGAATTAAGTGCATGGTGGGGCCCTTACCTGGGCCTGCTGCTCACTGTTCCGTTTCTGTCCGGAGGTACTGGGTGCAGTCTGAAATTTTTTTCAGTTGACTAGAGTTTAATCTTTCTGAACACATGGGACAGGTGCTTTCACTGTTTAGTAAGCTGTTTGGGGGAGATAAATGCAGAGTAAATTAAATGTGTAATTAACAAGTCTTTACCTTCTGGTTAAGCTAATGGGAAAATCAGCCACCTGCCTACAACTCTTACTGAGGAGGGATGGGGACTTGGAGTCATGCAAGATCTGGGGAGAATGCTCTCAGAGGTCACAAAGGTTCTTCCAAAGAAGACAAATTTGGGTCTTTAGGAACACAGAGTGAGGAGCCCTCCAAGGCAAGGAGTAGAAGAAAATAGGCCTGTTTCTGATTCATTGGTGTGACCGGGGAAAGGACACACACTTACATCTTGAATTCTGAGTACAGTGCAGGGAAGCCACAGTGCGGGCACATTGTCCAATCATCTTTCAACATGTGTCGGCCCTGGAAACATTCAAGAGTGAAGTTCAGTGAGCAAACCTCAGCCAAAGACAGGCTATGACTTGGGACACCACTGGTACTTCATATAGGTGGCAGCTGTCTAGAAAGATGCAGTCAAAGAGCTACTCCAGCTGGGTTCAACTTAGCAGAGTCATGTTTAAACATGGACTAAACTTGGGCTTTTATTTCACTATGTGAATTTATTTTCCTTCAAAATATAGCTTATGGTATCCAAGGTATGAACACATTTGACATTTTAATTTTCTGATATTAGGTCTTTTTGAGTTCCTTTGTGTAGCCCTGGCTGTCCTGGAACATATTCTGTAGACCAAGCTATCCTTGAATTCAGAGATCCACCTGCCTCTACCTCCTGAGTGCTGGGAAAAAAAGGTGTGAGCCACTACCGCCTGGCCTGATAGATCTTAGAGGTAGAAGTAAACTGCCAGTTCTAAACACCAGAGTAAGCCAGGTTTGGTATCGCATCAATTCAGCATCAACCTCAGGACAAAGGAAGCACAGGCGAGCCTACAAGAAGCAGATTGCGGGGCTGGAGAGATGGCTCAGAAGTTAAGAGCACTGAGTGCTCTTCCAGAGGTCCTGAGTTCAATTCCCAGCAACCACATGGTGGCTCACATCCGTTATGAGATCTGGTGCCCTCTTCTGGTGTGGAGATACACATGGAAGCAGAATGTTGTATACATAATAAATAAAATCTTAAAAAAAAAAAAAAAAAGAAGCAGATTGCATTGTGTTATGAAGCCAGTAGATGGCAGAAAAGGCACATGAGAGCATGGCCCTCAGACTGCTGAGTGCTGAGCTGCCTGACTCCCTGGGTTCCTGTGTGCTCTGAACCTCACCTCTGTTGGCTGGAATTTCATGCTAAATGTTCTGGAAAATGAGTCAGAAGGTAGTGTCAAAAGTAAAGACAACATTGGCATATCAGATATTCAAGTGGAAAGGGACACTATTACAAAGACACTTACTGTTGCAATGCAATAGGGAATGTTGTTTTTACAGCCGGGACAAAGGAGCTCACATTCTGGGAGAAGAAACTGGCAGAATGGACATGGGGTGGTGACCTCTTCTGTCTCGGATGTGTCTGGCCTCCTGGAAAAAGTATCATATGTCATTTACAAACACCACTTGATTCCCTGGAGTGTGGTGAGCAGAGAAAAGGCATTGTCTGGAAAGAACTGACTTCCTGCTCCCTAGCAGCTGGGGCCCAGGACCCAGGAAGAGGCAGCACTTGGGCCTGGCCAGGTCCAGCTGGCATTCACAAGCACTGCACTGGTAGCACTGTCTCCTCATTGTGTGATGGTGGTAGTAAGTGTGGGATTTTCCCTCTGCATCTCCCTTCTGTGTAACTGAAGTAAAGGCCACTCAGTGCTGTTTAACAGACATTTCTGGGCCAGTGGGCATGTACTAATAGTGTGGCATCCAATAAGGTGACTGAGACACATGGAGCTTTGTAGTTAAAGGACTAAGTTTTAAAGCTTACTCTGTTTTAAAATTTAAGCCACTGATGACTAGCGGGTGCCATTTTGGAGCACATAGCTACAGGCCACTCCTGTTGTGTGGGGAACCAGGCTCAGTACTGGTCAGCGTGACACTAAGCCATCTTGTCCATCTTGCAGCCATGTTCTCCATAGTCCCCTCTACACTAGAAGCGTCCCTGGGCCAGACTGACTTGGTTTGAAGCCACTTAGGTTGACCAGCCTTTAGAAAGGTGTTCATGCAGCCTTAGCCAGCATCAAAGCTCTGCCATGGGGCAGCGCCTGTCATGATTAGCATTTGTGTTGGCAAATTTTATGTGAAATTCATACTAGCTAGAGTCCCTGGAGAGGAGGGAGCCCCAACTGAGAAAATGCCTCCATAAGATTGGACTATAGACAAACATGTAGGGTATTTCCTTAATTAGTGATTGATGGAGAAGGCCCAGCCTTCTGTGGTGGGTGGGGCTGCTCTTGGGCTGGTGGTCCTGGGTTCTGTAAGAAAGCAGGCTGAGCAAGCCATGGATGGGAGCAAGTCAGTAAGCAGTACTCCTCCATGGATGGCCTCTGGATCCTGCCTCCAAGTTCCTGCCCTGTTTGAGTTCCTCACTTCCTTCATTGATCATTTACAGAAATGGAAGCATAAGCCAAATAAACCCCTTTTCCCTCACTTTTTTGAGCATGGTGTTTCATTATACCAATAGTGACCCTAACTAGGACAGCATTAAAGTCCTGCTTGCTTCTGCTTGCCATTACCAGTGAGTTATTTTGCCTGGTTGGGTCAAGGGTCTCCTAGTTATAATGTCACTACTCTGATTATGTAGTGCATAGTTTTTTTTTCCTTTTATAGATTCTAAGTGATGTTTTCTACTTCCTATGTCTAGGACATAGTGTCCCCACAAAAGGCTCATGTGCTAGCAATGTTCAGAGGGCCTTTGGGAAGTATTGATCATGTAGGCTCTGATGAACTGAGCGCTGGCAGACTCAAAATCTGAATGACTGGGGATTTAGAACTGACCAGAGGAAGTCAGTTGTGGGGCAAGGGTATGGAGTGTATCTTTAAAGAATGTCTTGCTCTTGGCCCCTTGTCTGTTCCTGAGTGCTTACTGCAACGAGGAGAGACATTGTGCTATGTGCTCCCCACCTACCCACAACCTTGAGGGTCTGTGGGGCAGGCACAGCCAGAGTCTTCTAGGAAAGCAGGCCTCCCTGCTGCTGTCTGAAGCCAGGGCCTTCTCTGTCCACAGTGCTCTGATCTGGAGGCTCTCTGCAGAGTTCTTTGTGTTAATTTGGAGTTTCACTGCTGAGAACACCCATGGCTTTGTTTCTCTCTCTACGGCAGACGATACTGTCTACCTTCTTGCCAAGCCAGCATTGTCACACTTGACCGTATGCTTCACAGGGAGGCTCTATGTGACTATCTCAAAAAAAAAAAAAAAAAAAAAAAAAAAAAAAAAAAAAAAAAAAACCCCAGGGGGGGGGTTTCTTCCACACACATTTACTTTTTCTCCTACTTCTTCCTGCCCTGAATGGAGATGTAGGTCTAGATGTAGCAGCTATCTTGCAATCTTGAGGGAAGAGGAGTTCTGTGTACTGTGGGTGGCCCACTGGGAAAACAAAAGGTATGTTTTGGTGGCATCAGGACACTGTGGAACTAGCCCTGGTCTACAATGCCTTGTGTATGATTCACATAAATTCTGACTTTAGACATTAGTGGTGTTCCTGTTGCTTTTATCCCCTATTATTGGTTACCTTTCTTGTGATAAAATACCTACCAGGAATCAATTGAAGGGAGGAAGCAGTTATTTTGGCTCATAGTTCAACAGATCTACCAAAGTAGGAGTGGGGGTGGTGGCTAGGGGGCAAACTGCTAGGGAGCAGAGAGAGATGGATGCTTAGCTCACTCTCTTTTACTCTTTATTCAACTTGGGACTCGAGCCTGCATCCAGGGCAGAGCTTCACTCAGGTAAAAGTCTCTGAAAGCATCCTATACACATACCCAAAGGTGTGTCTCCTAGGTGACTCTAAATTCAGTCAAGTTGGCAGTAAATGTTAGCCATCACCCCCCTGCCCCTACCTCTACCCACTTTTATTAAGCTTATGTAAATTAGAAGCCCCATCTGAAAAATAACCCAAAGATGTGATTGGACAGTAGAAATGGCTGTGTCTGCCCACCTGACCATTGCCTCGATTTTCTTTTTGTACTTGGCATCAATTTTGTTGCGGTATTCGGGCCTCATCAGCATAGCTGCAAAGCTGAAAGCAGAGTTCTTGAGGCCTGCCCTGTGACACTCGATCACAGTAGATGTAAGGATAGGCACGATGTCTGTAGGACACACAGGGAGCAGAAAGGAGACAGCTGAGTGTAGTCAGGGCTACATGAGCCACATCTCAAAAACAACCCCAAAGTCAACAAGGTGGCGAATACATGAGCCATGTCTGGCCTTCTGGCTGTTGTGTGGCCCATGAACTAAGAATGGTTTTTACATTCTTAACTGGTCGAAGGAAATAATATTTTGTGACATGTTACAAGTGTGAGGTTTAGATTTTGTGTTCAGAAATTTAACTTCTATTAGAACCAAGGCCTACTCACTCACATATTATTCACACCAAATGCTGGGTGAATAGTTGTGTCAGACCGAATGGCTTAAGGTATTTGCTTAACATCTGGCTATTTACAGCACATTTGTTGACACCTGTCACACGGTGTGATGAAGTCTGTTCATTTAAAGATGTTATAATGACAGTCTTCTGGGAGAAAGGGGCCTTTCCCAGAAGCCAGTCTTTCCCAGAAGCTAGTAGATGACAATGTGATCATTGGTACATGTGACTTCCCTTTGCCCTGTTAGGCAGGAGGTTCCTATGTGACCAAATGCCAGGGAAAACCCTGGGTCCTGACTCTAATGCGCTCCTGGGGCACACACTTCAGACTTGGGAATCATGTGACTCGGTTCCGTGTGATTACACAGAGGGAAGTCTCAAAAGGTTCTGTCTGGCCAGGCGTTGGTGGCGCACGCCTTTAATCCCAGCACTCGGGAGGCACCGGCGGGCGGATCTCTGTGAGTGCGAGGCCAGCCTGGTCTCCAGAGCGAGTGCCAGGACAGAGAAACCCTGTCTCAAAAAACAAACAAACAAAAAAAGAGCTACTATCTGTCTGCACTTGGTTTCCATTAGGCTTTGCCCTGGGCACCTAGCTCCTGCCAACCTTTCCCTTTGGTGTGATAGGCCTTAGTTACTGCACTACTATGTGCTGAGCCTTGTAGAGTTTCAAATTCTGGGGTGTCTTGGGGATCCTGGCCTATCACTTCCTGGAGCTGTTGTGGAGACGAAAGTTGTGACCTGACGACACAGGGAGCTGTGCACACGCTTGCTTGGGGTGTGCACAGAGTAGTGCTGAGACAAGACTTACGGGACGGGAACTTGCTGATGTTGTTGGCCACCCGAATGAGCATGCGGGCCCCCTTCATATGGTCTCCACTCTTAACATGAACCTGAAATAAATGATGCCTTTCATTCTCCAGCCTTATATTCATTCCAGTCCACTCTCTCTTCTCCCAAACAATTTCCTGTTTGTGGCCCAGACACGACTGAACTGAGATTCCCAAGCCTTGCCTCACTCCTGCCACTGGGGCTTTGCTTCCTATTTTTCCTTCAACAGCTGGCATCTGGCACCACAGTTATTCTCAGTATTGTATTCTGCCTTGGGACACCCAAGGTCATTCCCTGGTCCATCTCTTGTGTCTGAAGCTGGGAATGACCCCTCTGTGGGTTAACACATTGTCTATGTTGTAGTGAGACCTAAGCACTGACTGAGTGAGTCAAGGGCTAGGAGGAAGAGAAGAGGACTTGTGAAAGAAGTGAGTTCAGCCTGTGATGAGAAGGGCCTAAAGTGAGGCAAATATGAATGAGGTTTGGGAAGTAAGGAGGGCTGAAGGCGGGATGGGATGGAGTTGCAGTATACGCAGATGCCCAGCACCAAAGCCATAAGGATACAGTGACAATTCTGCATCAACTTTTTCAGCCTTGACAGGATTAAACAGTTTTTGTTTCTTTTTTTCTCATTTTGGTTTTTCAACACAGGGTTTCTCTGTATAGTCCTGGCTGTCCTGAAACTCACTCTGTAGACCAGG